TGTATATATATATATATATATATATATATATATATATATATATATATATATATATATATATATATGTGTGTGTGTGTGTAAACACTAATAAATATGACGAAAAGACACTAAAACAATTGAAATCAGAATAAAAAACATTCAAAATATGTATCAAAAATTGTAATTATACTAAAATAACACTGGTATCTATGTATGTGTGATATATAATTTTTCATATTTTGGATAATTATTACAATTTATCAACATTATATTGATAATTATAATTATAACTTATTTTGTCTTGATTTTTTTTTACTATGAAGAAATGCAGTGACGTTAAGTAATATCCTTATTGTGACTTATTCTCTCACTCAGACACTCGTTCATGCATAAATATTTCATTAAATCGTTCTTGGAGAAAAGCTAATCACTGTTCAAATGGGGTTTCTATGTTCGATGCAACGGGACAGTCTTTGAGACGAGGACGTGTTTCAAATGGATTTCTGCGGTCTCTTGAAGTTGGATCCATTCCTGTCTGCTCTTTTGAAATCGGAGTAATGCAAGAACAGAATGATGAAATCACAGTATTTTGCTCTTTCGAAACGAGATTTCACTCATGCGGCTACAAACCGAATGTTGTTGATGTTGTTATTGTGCTCAGATCTCTCCTGCATGTGCAGTCTGAGCTTTTGCATGTTTTTTATGTGGTGATTTCACACCTGCATTATTGCTCTTGTGCTGCAGTAAATCAGGGCAGATTCACAGTGCAGTAGTTTTGGACCATCATGCACTGCACATGAAAACTCAACTCTATCTGTGGCATAAACAGGGTAGACCATTTTCATTATTCTTTTACTTCTTTACTGATATCATGAGAGGTCACAAGAGGTCAGCCACAAGACTTAAAGGGGTCATATGATGTGATTTCAAGTTTTCCTTTCTCTTTGGAGTGTTACAAGCTGATTGTGCATAGATAAGATCCCTGAAGTTGGAAAGACTAAAGTCTCAAACCCAAAGAGATATTCTTTATCAAAGTTAAGACTCTGCCACGCGAAATGCCGGAAATGCCTGGTCGGCTCTTACCATAGCCGCCTGATCAATTTGAGCGCGATTTAAACCCGGATGATTGTAACCACTCTAAGTTTGTCTGCCTTGGGAAAGCTAGCGTGTCTCTGACATAGTGATAACCTGTGTTCGAACTATATCGTGGACTTTGGGGGAGCCCACTTGTTTTTTTTGTTTTTTTTATAACGGGGGGTTCGTGCGCTTGCACGTGCCTCATAAAAGGGCATACAATGACTTACAAAGATACATAACAGCAATAAGTGTATGCACTACTTGCTTTATGCAAGCACTATATAGGATATATCACTATACAGGATTTACCCTATTATACTTTATCGACACGAATTGGTAGGTGAAACAACAAACAGCCACCCACAAATAGTCTATATACAAAGCATCAGGCTGTCTTTGAGTTCACATGACGGTTAAAAGTTAAAACGGTTAAAGTTACTCGTCATCAGGCTACAGAAGAATACCATAATTCCTCAGTTCAATTTGGCCTAAGACATCGAGAGTCACGCAGACCTATAACAACCCAGCCACAACACATAATTGCGAATAACATTCCTTACCTAAACACAGAATGGACCACAGAGTCCAGCGTTTATATTTTTTCTACGAATCTTTGAGTTAACATGTAGGCTACTAAACATGAGTGGAATTTGCACCGCAGCGCCCCCACACCTTGATGCTCATGACAAGTATAGCATGTATAGTTATCTTTATTGAAGTGAATTAGGTTTAAATCCCCGTCATGCATGAACGAATGATATTTTTGCAGTTTTACTCATAATAATCCACAATGATCACATTACACAAAACTGAAATTGCATGTCAAAATAACACATTGTCAATATTTTTTGAGACCCCCAAAATTTCACCGAGCTCCCCCTAGCTGCCCCGAAGTTCGCACCCTGGTGATAACACTCGCTGCCTTCTCTAGTGCAGCTCAACCAGGTCTCGTCCCATTCGTCGATATTTGTGATATCACAAATCCCAGAAAATATGCGTTGTAGTCCAAACGAGTCGTTCGTTGTAGTTTTTGAAAAGTGATTTCTGTTAAATAAAATATCCTCCTTTTGAAGTTGACTTTGAGCTTTGTAACTTTGCAGATCTTTTTTATGCTCAAACAGCAACATTACAGACTAACTAAAGTTGAAAAAGTGAAAAAGCATAACGGGACCCCTTTAAAACAAGTAACCACGGCTATGGGGGAAAATGCCGACAAAAACTACAAACAGTTATTGGAATCATATGATTTCTGATATATATATAATATATATGTATATATTTTATAATATTCTATTCTAGGCCTATCTTATCATGGGTTAAGACAGCATAAAGCTGAAAGGTTGAAAAACCTTTCAACTATCAGCTGTCTTTCCATAGAAGATAGAAGAAGACAGAAGAAAACACTGTGTGCATTATATTGCCTATACATATATATTACGACATGCATTGCATACCTTTTTGTTTTGATCAAGATAATCTTGTAACCCGGGCAAGGATTGTCTGTTAAACCTTCCTATATATTGTTTGTTAGCGAATGTTAATGAACGTTGTTATTAGCTGTTACCGACGTGTCTGGTCTTTTCTCTTCCAAAAAAGACAGCAGCGCGCGCAAACCGTTGCTCGAGTTCAAATGGCTCGTGCGCTCATGGAGATCTGATGTGTGGCGCGCGCGTCCAAACGCTCTGAGAGTTTCTCACATTTCAGGAAGTCCTCAGCTGCTCTATATTATGGTCGCGCAGCCGTGATCCGCGTGGATCGTCCGTGTGGATCTCCGGTCGGGCACCATGTCCACCCGGTACAGCCCGAGGCGTGCGCTTCTGCGCGCGGTCTGCGCGCATGTTGTGTCCGTGCTGACTGTCTGCTGCGCCGGGGGGCTCTTTACAGCCGGTAAGATACATTTTACTAGAATTGCTTTGTGCACTTTCAACTTTCAAATGACTGTGCGGCTGCGGCTCAAAACCTAGTACGCTGCCTACTTCAGTCAAACAGCATCTTTGGGCATCATGGGCACGCACAAGTCAAACTGCACAGTTGTTTATTTAAAACACGGTTTCTACCTGATCTGACACTTAAATCCAAATGTTTTGATTTGCTCAGGTAATTTAGATGAAGTAGCTTGCATTTAGGTTACTTGGCATAAAACATTGTAGTTTGTGTTTTAGGAACAGACCGAGCCTCTTGTTCTCAGAGCAGCACAACTGATGAATGGAGGACAGTTTGTATTAAGAACATGCTCTGATGTTTCTCCAGAATTGCTTCTTTGAGAGATATTTGTGCTTAATTGAGGCATTAACAGAATATCTGTGGTTTGATGGTGGTTTTTATTGTCATAACTTGGTTTATCAATACACTATTTGGCGAGCAGATGATGAGCATTGTGAGTTGATTATGATGATTTCATCTCAAATACAGCTGAATGTGAGGGAATCTCACAAAACCTGCTCAAGTCATACTTAAAGCTAAATATTTTTGCTTTAAATAAAATTTTTATTTTTTTTCTCTTGGACCAGTAAGAAATTTGATTGATTGATTACTGCAGGAAAATTTTGTTTTGGAAAAATATGATTGATTAATGCATTGGCTGGTTCATTCATTGGTTATTTTTAGGACAAAGATTTATTTATTTGTTTATTTATTGCATTGTGTGCATTATGTTTGAGAACATTTTGCCTAGTTTCCTCCTACATTCTCGTTGCATTTTTATTACTGTGATTCCAATAATGGTATATGCATTTTTTTTATTGTAGAGAATGTATACATCATGTTACTATTTTTGTACTACCTTTTATTTATGCTGTTTTTTAAATAAATGTAAAAAAAAATGACAGCATACTTTGTGTAATATGGTATAAAATTACACTATTACAGTAATAAGGATCTAATGAGAATAATCAATGTGAATAATGGCATTTAATATATATGTGTATATATATATATATACTGTATGTATATATATATATATATATATA